CCTTTCTTACATTGTTCAGAAAAGAACAAAAAAAAGAAAAGAGCAGTATTTTTCAAGAAACTGACATAAAGAAAAAAAAGAGTCAGTCAATATCTCCATTAAATCTGAGTCAGGACTAAAATCCATGACATTCATTCTAATAAAAATGAAATTGTGATCACAGGAGGATTTGCAATAAAGGGTACCTGAAAAAAATATATGAATATTTAACTTTCACTACTTGAAACGTTGCAAAAAACTGTGCAGAGAAATAAAATCTCCTAAGACAAAACTGTAAATTTGTTCTTGGAAAAAATGCTATGAAAAGTATTCTCATAATTTGGCACACCTTATAGGTATTTAAAAACTTTCTCACTGGAAAAAAGGTCTCACTGGTTTTTGTCATATACTTTTTTGTACCTTTAAGAACTAACAGTATAAATAATATGCAACATAACAATGAAAAAGAATTTAAATTTTAATGTACTATGTCATTTATATAACTTAAATAGTGTTACTTACTACAAATCTTACGGCTATGAAGTGTAGTTCAGGCCTCTTGTGCATTGGTTTTTAACAGACATTCATAATGCCTCTAGTAATAATACAGAAGTGAACACTGTCTGACGGTTCCATACTGTCGCTAACACAGTTTCACTGTATAAAGAGCAGAAGCATCACATTCACTGCTCTTTTGAAAGTGTTTTACCATTCAAATTAATGCAAAAATAATTTCAGGGCTCTTGTGAGAGCTCCACATGAATCTAAGTCAGCTCATGATGTTGCTTTACTTCTCCTTCAAGCTACTGTGGTTTTTTTCTCCACAGTTTTAACAGCATCAGTTATGTTGGCTGGTCAACGCAAATAAAATAACAGAAAAACACAGTGATGGTTGAAAGAAAGAAAAACAGAGCTGGAATATTTCTGTGAGTAGGGATATGTATAGCAGCCCCCAGGAACGTTTCTGAGATTTTTCCCCCTCAAGAATGCATTATTGGATTCATGTGGAATGACTGACTGAAGATGCTTCCCCCTCACTCCCTTACATGCTCACAACTCATTAGAACTGTGAAACTAGTTCAACCACCTATCTTAAATCTCAACAGCTGGATTCCTAAAACTATTTTCATAGTAGCTGATTTTCTCACCTACTAGGTATTGACTTGCCACTTGTGTGAAAGGATATCAACCTGACTGATGCAGCCCTGTCTATAGAACTGCACCTTTGTCTCTGTGACTCATTTTGTACACTCAGATGGTTTTACTATAATGGCACATGGCTCAGATTTTCCAGTACATTCAGTACATCTGCGGTCACATCAGGAATGTATGTCATAATAGTTTCTCCACAGTGGTAACGTGCACTCAATTTGCAATGCCTGTGGAGGAAAAATCTAGACAAAGAGATAAATATCAGCAGTGACGTATGAGCAAGTATATATCCACTAGATAATCCTAGTTTTAACTAATAAATATTTTTTAGGAAAGCTGGTAATTGTCCTCAGGATAAATGCTCTGGATTCTAACTAGAAGATCAGTCAAGCATACATTCTCCAACAGAGCTTGGAAAGGCATGTGAGTTTCAAGGATTTTTTGAAGTGATATTTTTCAATTCAGAAAATGTGGAGGATATAGAGTATTTACTCACAACCAGAGAAAAATAATCAAGAGAAAATTTTCTTCTGGATTGTGTGATACTGTGCTAAAACAGGCAGGTATAGCAGCCAGACCTTATTTTTGATAAATACAAAATATAACTAAAGCCCACACAAAACAAATTATATGTAAGACATATGTAGGCAGGGAGAGTTTCACTGCACATAATGTGGAGGCATTAGTCCCCAAAAGAAACCACAAAGTTGAGACATAAGCAACCATATGCCAAGGACATGCTCTTGGAATTTCCAGGAACTGAGCGCTCAGAAGAGCATGAAGAGTGCTTTGGGAGAGCACTAGGTAAAAAGGGATTGGGACAGTGAACTGACCCCTGCTGTTTGGTTCTACTGTGTTCAAAGAAGTAAATTCTTTCAAATATACAAATTGCAGAAAGAAATATTCAACTACAGCATAATTTATTTCTGTAGGAGAAACAGCCTAGTGAACCTGGACTCTCACCTTTTTCAGCCATAGATGAATCACATTAGAACCATTCTTTTAAATAAAAAAAAAAAGTCAAAATAATCTCTATAGTCTATCATTCTACACGAAAACTATTCATATCCAAGCATCATGCACATTAGTTCATGAAAAAATAAATTAAAAATGCCTTTTGTTTTATACAACAGGATGTCAGAACTGCCAATAAGCAGCCTGGGTCTCCACAGTCTGCCAGGTAGGGGCAGTGAATCTCACAACTGGCTCTAGACATTCTCCGCTAGTGAGAAGTAGCAAGCTTCCATTGTGTACTTCTCTGTAATTCATGTAGTTCACTACCAGATGGATACAAATCCTGCCACACAGATTATGGAAGAAATATCACCCAAGCACTATTATAACAAACTTCTTCTCTAGCAGTATTAAATATATGATTTTAGCCAGAAGATATTCTGAAACTTGACAGTTTCAGAAGTCAGCAGTCCCTTCCCTTCTGCCTTGATCTAAATATTCAGCTGTCTAGATTTGGTGGGGCTTTTGAACACTTCAGCCAGCTATAATTTGTCAAAATTTAATAGGCACATTTATATCATACTTTGTATTCCATCTGTGTACCACATATGCATAAAACCCAGGTCTCTAACACCCTGTTGCTTTTTCAGAATTATACCTCATTCTGTGCCCAGTATGAGCGCGCTCAATTAATGATATGCTAGTCACTCATTACTCATTGCCAGTTACTCTCGTTGTTCAATGTACAACCCCTTACCATACTTATGTATTTACACTACAGCCTCTTACCTTATCTGTTATTTGAACCTGCCATGAGGACAAAATTATTGTACTCCTAATTCCTGTGATGTTCACCACTATGAGATCAAGGGCACCAACACACATAAGGTTACAACATCCCTGTGAGCTAAAAGGACAGTTTTATTCCCATTTTACAAAGGAAAGTTGAAGCATGGAAAAGAAAACACATTTTAATAATTACTTGCTTATGTTTCCCATTTGGAGAGATCCATTAGACCTAATTTTTCAGCACACTTAGCATATATTTATATCATACAGTTAAAACACAGCTCCCAGTGGCTTTCACTACAGCAACTTGCCCAAAATCCCATAGGAACCCTACAAAAGACTTGTGGATAGTGTTCAATTTTCCTGGAAAGCATTCAACTGCCCTCAACAAGACACAATCCCTCTTTGTATATTTCCCCACCTGAGCCATTACAAATGTTCCCACAGGTGAAGGTAGGTATGGACAACAGCCTCCTTTACTTCATGACCCCTCAAAACATGCCCGAACAGATGGAAAGAATCCAACTGGTAGAAAGACTTGGCCCAATAATTTAAGGCTATTTCATATATTCAGAAAGTGCAAGGAAATAACCCAGGATATACAACCAATTGTAGCATTAGCTAACATTCAAAGATACACTGTATAACCTCAATGATCTTTTAAGGTAGTTTCGCGTGTATAACTTCCTAGTTTTTTTAAAGAAAATTGAAAAACAATTTTCATCATATCATTTCTTCTTGTTTATTGTCATCCAGAAGTCATTAACAAAGTTAGAACCCGCAGATGGACCATACAAGCCTCTGTCACTTAGACTCATAGGATGATGCATATCACCAGTAAAATATCTGATGCCAGCAAGAGAATACCAGCAATGGGGTCAATGAGAAAAAAGAGTCAGGCTTGCTGCTCTTAGGTCTGATCTCACCTAGATTTGAATGTAGAGAACAGAGCAGCAACTCTAAGGAGATAGAAATACCTTGTATTTAGAGAGTGGCTGGAGAGCTGCCTGGTGGAAAAGGACCTGGGGGTGTTGGTCAACAGACAGATGAATATAAGCCAAGAAGGCCAACAGCATCCTGGCTTGTATCAGGAACAGTGTGGCCAGCAGGACTTGGGAAGGGATCGTCCCCCTATACTCAGCACTGATGAGGCCACAACTCGAATACTGTGTTCAGTTTTGGGCCCCTCAATACAAGAAAGACATTGAGGTGCTGGAGCACGTCCAAAGAAGAGCAACAAAGCTGGTGAAGGGTCTAGAGAACAAATCTTATGAGGAGCAGCTGAGGGAACTCAGGTTGTTTAGTCTGGAGAAAAGGAGGCTCAGAGGAGACCATATTGCTCTCTACAACTATCTGGAAGGAGGTTGTAGTGAGGTGGGTGTTGGTCTCTTCTCCCAAGTAGTTAGTGATAGGACAAGAGGAAATGGGCTCAAGTTGCACCAGGGGAGGTTTAGATTGGATATTATGAAAAACTTCTTCCATGAAAGGGTTGTCAAGCATTGGAAGAGGCTGCCCAGGGAAGTGGTGGAGTCACCACCCCAGAGGTATTTAAAAGACGTGTAAACGTGGCACTTAGGGACATGGTTTAGTGGTGCACTTGGCAGTGTTACGTTAACAGTTGGACTTACCTTAACGGTCTTTTCCAAGCTAAATGATTCTGTGATTCAATGATTCTGTAAGTGGTTGGATACAAACCATGATTTTTGAAAAGTTTGCCTCTTGATCATTTCTGGGCTCATTTTTACAGCAAGAAAGAAGGAGATACACTTGAAATTTGGCTTGTGTATCAGGTTCCTGCTCCAAATAACAATCCTGTGTTTACTAGAGCATAGCAAAGAAAAAGTCAGCAGAACATTTTTAAAGGGCATATTACTTTTCTCCCACCTTCTTTCCCTGAAAGATGCAAAACAAAAAACCTCAAATCAATACAAGTCTGAAAAAAATTCAGCCTAAACAATTGAAGCACAGCAAAACTACAACCAACTGACAGACTTTATCACTGTAATGTGAAAGAACATGATAACAGAACCAGAAATAATTTCACCCCAGGTCTTTTCCTACACAATAAAAAATACATTAAATAGGAACTCATGAGCATAGTGTAACAGTTAAGAATGGAAACATACATTGCTTTCCTTTTTCTTGGTGTGGTAAGAAGCATACCCTTGTAGTGGTGTCATTTTCAGTTTTGTTTTGGAACTGAGAGCACTTCAGAAATTCTGGCCAAGAAGCATTTACCATACCCAGGACTGGTTCACAGCCTTCTTTTGCTGCCTCACAAAATGTCCTGCAGGGCAAGAGGCCTCGACTGGAGAAAAGAGACAGAGAACAAAAATACAAAGGATTATAACTCTAGTAGATTGTGAAAACTTTTTAAGAAGAGAAAAAAGTAATAATAAACACTTTTGAAGAATTTTACGTTCTAGAGAGCTACACCAAAAAGGTGCCAAATCTTCATTATTCATTGAAGGTGACATCAGCTTTGGCTTTCAGGCTAAATTTAAGCCCAAATCAAGCTCAGAACAGTTTCTATGTTCAACTCTGTGCAAGCTGAAGTTATTTCATCAACAGTTAAACCAATATAATGGTGTAGTGACACCACACAGGAGAAAGCTTGCTTCTTCATCCTCTCCTTCTTCCGTGCAATTGTGCAGGCCTACCCCTCTCTGACTTTGGCAAACACTTTCATGAGCTTATAAAAAAAATCATTAACTTGGAAAAAAACTTTTTGCGTTTTTTACTGGGTAAGCCTTCTGACAACTTAAGTGTGCTGAATCCTCTCATGGAGAGAACCAACAACCACCAGACATAAACTGTAGGAACCCACAGTGGAGAGCACTATATGACCTTCTTTTAGCATTTATGAGCTAAAGCATGTATCTTACAGTATTTCCCCTGAGCAGTCAAAAGATAGTCAGTGTCAGATCAAATGCAATAAATATCAACATGACTTGAACTGTATTTTTTTAAGAAAAGCACTATAAATTAGCAATTTTAAAAGTATAACAAGTTTAAATGCAGCATACTTGTCTATTTCTTATTCTGAGATATACATACTTGCATATGTATTTTTTCTTTATACCTCTTTTACAAGTACACAGGAAAACCAATTAAAATAGATAGCTATGAACTGTCTCCAGGTCTACATAATTAGAGTCAACAAAGTCAAGCAAAAAATCTAGAAAATCTGTTAATGTGTTTACAGGTAACGCAATGCTAGCCAAGTTAGTCAAGATTTGAAAAGACAAGAAATTTCAGAGAAGCCTCAGCCAAATTAGTTGATATGTGGCAGCTGTAATTCAGCATAGACTGTGGCAGCTGTAATTCAGAATAGACTATCGCAGCATAATGCACACAGGAAGGAAGAACTGAATGTTCACATGTACAGTTCTCTGCTTTACTGCCAGCTTCCAGTAACCTTTTACCTTTAAAACATTTTGGTGGAGCAGAGGAAAAGCTCTAGCACAGTCAGCATTAGTCTTAGCTATAAAGAAGAACTGTCCAATTCCTTTCCCAGCAAGGACCAGCACCAGCTGTGGGAGCACTTCATTACGCGAGAGAGCTGTCAAAAAGACTAACGTAAGTTATTACTGGAGCACGTGGGAGGAAGGCCTCTCAGTAAGCAGGTGCAAGTGCATCTGAAAGTCCACACACCCAAGCAAAGAACACAGCCCAAATGAGACACACTGCCTGCCTATACAAACACCTTTCTCCTCCATATGACCGCTAAGTCAGAAAGACCCAGCTCTTCTTGCTGGAAAGCGGAAGCACTAAGGCAGCTAGATGGTGGCATCTACTGACACCAACCTGTTCACACTGAATAAATACCAAAACTCCAACCTGACAGCATGGTAGCCTTCCATAACCTCTAGAGCTAGGGAGTGTGTCATAACCATCAAAAATTATGAAGGAGAGAGGCCTGGATATAGAGTAAGAAAGACATCTGAGTGGTCTTTGCCAGAAGACTATGCCAGCCTTCTGGATGAAGTAACAGAAAAAAGACCTATAAATGGCAAAAAAAATCCTTCATATAAGTACCTAATTCCCCATCACTACATTTTCTTATTGTGTGGATTCCTTCCTCAAATTTACTGCATTGCTTTTAGCATTTCTTAAAATATTATAAAAATTTACCAGCAGAAGACTGGGAAGCTAATGTATATTCATAACCTAAGAATCAATGACCAAAAAGCAGAAGCTGCATACATGCTCTAATCAGGAATGATCTCACTCGCATTTAAAACAGTGCAAGTTTTCTCAGGCATAATTAAAATTGGGGCACTTATTCCTAAGAATATAATGAAAAAATGTAACTCCAGCTCTGACTTGTAAGTATAATGTTATTTTTTTGAAAAGCCTTATTATGCATTGCTGGCTTTGCTTTATTACAAAATATGACATAAATTGTAATTTTTTACTTAGCTTGAAATCAATGTTTTGTCATTCACGAAAAAAGAATTATGAATTTTTAAAATATGCAATATTTAAAATATGATTAGCATATTAATATTTGTTATATTCTTAATGATACCCCTGACTTCATACTATTTTATTTTACACTATATATATTTTTTTAAACAGTGAACACCAAGACTGAGAAGGCATGCCTTGTCTTTTATTCATTTTCTTATGTAATTTAGAAATACATTTGTGAATGTCCACTGTCTTCACTATCTATAACTTCAGGGTCATCTGCTGAGATTATCAACAGCACTGTAAATAAAATCAGGGAGTTACTTGTACTTAAACAATTATATCCTTTATCATAATGGCACTTTGGGACATGGTTTAGTCTAGTCTACCCTTGATTGGCTTAGAGTAGACTTGGTAGTGTAGGTTAATGGTTGGACTGGATGATCTTAAAGGTCTTTTCCAACCTAAACGATTCTATGATTCTATTATAATCGTGAACTGCCACCACCATTACCATACATGACTTTCTTATCATGACCATTAAATTCCAGAAAGATTCCACAGAGGAAGTGATGTAATTGAAGTGAATTTCAGCTAAACAAATGTTACATTGGCCTGGAAGGTGAATTGGCACAATATTTTGAAAGAAAACAAAACTGCTTAAAGTGTAAAATGTCAACTAACTCTCAATGGAAGGAACAGGTACAGAGATTTAGAAATACATGTAATTGTTAAGTACGGCTCTCTTACAGAAACAGCTGACACATTCAGAAATGCTTGAGAGAACTTCACCCATGCAAGGCCATGGGACCAAGAGGCTGCACCTAAAGGTGCTGAGCAAACTGTGCAGTGCTCTTGAAAGGCCTATCTCTGTCATCTCTGAAAGGTCACGGACATCAGGGGACGCTACTCACAACCAGAAAAAGGCAAATGTTGCACCCATCTTCAAAAAAAGGCCAAAAAGGTCAAGCTGGGTAACTTAAAGCTGGTCAACCTGATTTAGTCCTGAGGAAAATCACAGAGCAAGTCCTCCTTGAACATATTTCTGGGCACAGGAAGATGATGGTCAGGAACAGTCAGCATAGATTTATCAAGGGTAAACCATGGCTGACCAGCTTGATTGCCTGTTATGATAAAATAACTACATACGTAGTATGGGGTCCTGTCCTGTTTGACATTTTTGTCAAGGACCTGGAAGAGATGACCAAGTGTGCTCTTGTCAAGTTTGCAGATGACACCAAACTGTTCCCACAATGTGGGAACAAGGTACTTAATGGTAGAGCTGCAATTCAGAGGGACCTAGACAGGCTAGAAGAATGGGCCAAGAGGAACTTTATGAACTTTAACAAGGATGAGTCCTACACTTGGGAAGAAAGAACCGACTGTAATGATACAGGCTAGATACTAACTGACTGGGGAGCAGCTCTGCTGAAAACAACTTGGGGGTCTTGGTAGACAGCAAGCTGGGCATAAGCCAGCAGTATGTCCTGGCAGCAAAGCCAGCCAACAGCATCCTGGCCTGCATCACATGAGCACACAGTCAGTATGTAATGGGAAAGGATTGTCCCCCTCTGCTCAGCACTTGCTAGACTGCATGTGAAAACAGTGTCCATTCTTGGCTGCTCCAATACAGGAAAGACACTGATAAACAGCACTGAACCCAGGGGAGGGCCACCAAGCTGGTCAGAGGCTGGAAGGCTCACCTGTGAGGCAGGCTGAGGGAACTGGGCTTCTTCAGCTGGAATAAGAGACAGCTTAGGGGTAACATCAACCACTACACCCTTCAGGACCCGCGTGGAGGTTATGGGGTCTAGCTATTCACAGTGGTGTATGGTGGGAGAATGGGCAACAACTGACATAAGCTGAAACAAGATAACTTCAGGCAGGATATAAAGAACTTTTTCAGCATGAAATTAGGGAGTGAAACACTTTATCCAGAGAGGTTGTGTGGTCTCCGTCCTTGCATGTTTTCAAGACATAACTAGATAAAGCTCTGAATACATAACCAATGTACTTATGCTCCACTGAAGAGACAAGGAATATTATGATAACAATGAACAATTTTAGTAAAATGAAATTATTTACTATTTGAGCTATTTAAATTTGGTCTGTTGAGGGAAATTCACATAGAAAATGAGAACAAAACTGAAAGAAATATCATAAACTAACACAAAATAAGGAAGTTGAATGGAATATACTGAAATTTTTCATAACTTTGGGCAAACTGCAAATTCTTGATGCTACTGGAATTTGGAAACAACGTGAACTGTTACGGAAGCAGTTAGCCAAAAGAAAAAAAATTGCCTAGCCAAGAACAAGTCAGTATTCTGATATTTTGTTTGAAGTTTCAGAAAAAAATGCATATAGAAACACACACACATACACAGGCATTTCTAAATATCATTTTACTTAAAGTAGATTATAGTAAGTCTAGTCATTAATGAAAGTTGTCATATTTGAAATAGTTAATTTATTGCAAAAATATAAATGCATGACACTGAATCCTTATCATATTCTTTACCGTAAGGATACACAGTCTCCGCAGTTTTTGAGAGGGAAAAAAGGGCTATTTCAAGAAATAAGTCAATCTGTCACTCAGGTTTGCATATTGGGGATTATTGTCAGCCTGTACTTCATTCTGTGTCTTCACATCGAGGCCACATTTACATGCCACATACCACATCTAACATGTTTTCTCCTGTACCCCTACACTGATTAAATTTTCAATACAGTTTTTTGCAGTTTATACCTAAATTACTGCAGAACCTTTTGGGCTTCAGCAAATGCAATTTTGCTTCATTCATAACCATTCATAATGCCATAGAAAGCTTCTTTTTCCTAGTACCCCACTTAGATCATATCATCTTTCTCTTTGTGTCTGACTCTTGGTTGTAC